TTTCTTTCATAAAACACTAACATATCTTTTTATCATATTATTATTTTCATTTTCCATTATTCACTCATAATACCCTCCCTCAATGTTGGTTTATGATTTTCAAATTTTAATATATGAACATTAAAATAAAAATTTTGTTAATTTTCAGATAGAATTAATAAGTTTTAAATACATTTTTAATTTTAGTAAAAATATTTTAAGTCATTTATAAAAACGACTGGAGAAATACGTAACATAATAAACATTCCATAAAATATTTCATGCAAGCATTGGGCTAATCCACCCATTTTTATACTTAATAATACAGGAATCTCTCTGATTGTGAACCTCTTTGATTCAATGTTAATTAATTTCAGAGGCTCAATTAAGATTGAAATGAATGAATATACCATTTTTAAAATAATGAATGATACTACTTCCATATCAAATTATAATATACTTGCAGAGAGATTTGGCAATATTACTCCTCGTATATATTCTCTTTTTCTCTCATATTTTTTAATTTTATAAACAAAATTTTAAATGAAAATTATTTTTAAAAGTTTATATTTTTATCTTAAAAATTAATGTTGTAAATTATATTGAATGAGCTTTATTGGTATATTAATTTTATCTAAAAGTATTTTATAATTTGAGATAAGGGGAGTATTAATTAATCATTATCTCTAGCTATCTCTTCTACAAGGTATTAAAATCTTGACCAATTATTGAACTGGTAAATAAATTAATTCAAATATTAATGAGTAAAATTATAGTTGAATCATGATTAAAATGATCATTAAAAATTATTTTTTAAAATTTTTTTCAAGTTATTAATTTAATAATTTATCAATTTAACTAGATAGATTGATTTAAATTTCTATATTATATTCTTCAACTCCCTAATTGAAGTTAAGTTAGCTCAGATAAATATAATGCTTCATCAGCTTTAAAATAATCGTTGCCTTGATTTTTTTTTTCTTTTTATAAATAATCGTGTACTACAATTCATACAAGACATCATTTACTTTTATGCTAATTAAAAAAGTGTTTATTTAATTCGCAATATAATAAAAAGTTTGATTTCAATAAAGCAGAGAATGAGTGTGTGTGTGTATATGTGTGTGTGTGTGTGTGTGACGTTCACATGCAGCGTAAAGGCCTGGGAGAGGCGGACCCGAATTTCATCGGAGAATTATTTGATAGTAATGAGTGATGATGCAAAAGTGAGAAAAAAGAGAAAATAGGACCACAAAAATAATTGTCCAGCCTTTTTCTGCAACATTATTCGCTACTCTTTTTTAATGATGAGGGCTTTTCCTTCATCCCCAGCAGTCCACACATGCTTCCTAATTGGCCCAGAGGGGAAAAAAAAAACCACATGTTTACTAATTTCAATATCACGTTTTTTTCCCACTTAACAAAGCTCGAAAATAAACAATTGAACGGGGAAGGATAGTTGAATAAATGGTCGAAGGACATTTTTATCGTCGACCCTAAAAAGATCATCGCACATCCTAAATTTAATTAGTTAATTCTATAAAAAATTATATATAAGTTTTATGAAGTAGATTTATTTATTAATAAATTCTGTAAAATTTAAAAATTACAGTCAAGTCTCTTAAAACCTGAGTATAGTTTGAAATTAAGTTGTAAAGACAACAATACCTCTATTAAATATATATTACATCAATCAAATAATCAATTTACAACTGTAATTTCATAAATTCAATAGTCAAGCAATTATATGTTATTAATAAAGTTAAATATTAATTATTTTATTAGTAGTTTACAACTATAAATTCAACCTTTTACAATTGTAATTCACATATTCAATAGTGAAGCTGATTAGTTTAATTATTGAATATATAAAGTTAAAGTTATAAAAGATTAAAGTTTTAGTTGTAAATTACTAATAAAGTAATTGTAAATTATTTAATTGATGTAATGTATACATGTTTAATATGGACATTATTAACTTTTTATTTCAATTTTAAATCACACTCAAGTCTAAAATGTCCTTGCTATGGTTTTTAATTTTTGTGAAAATTATTTATAAATAAATTCACTCTATGAGACCCATATATAATTTTCCCTTAATTCAGTCCTTCATCACTTTGACATTAAAAACACCTAATGCCTACTCATCATCAGTGATCCTCTTATTTTTATATGTTTTTTTATTGAGTTGAGTCATTTTGCCTCTCAACTTTTGACCAAAAAAATCAATGAGCACCCTCAATTCAAATATTTCACAATAAAACATATTAAAAATGTAATATGCAGCCATTAATGGCAAAGTTATGATGAGAACATGACATGGTGATAAGGGAGAATTTTTAATGTTGAGGGACAAAATTAATCCATAATTAAGTTTAAGATACTTAGTGACATTCTTGAGTAACATTGAATGAACAAAATGACCCTTAACCCTTAAATAAAATATCACATTTATTTTATATAGAAAAAATTAACATGCAAATCTGCATAGATCAAGCCTTCAATTTTAAATTAGATCTTTGTAATTTTTTTAATTGATCAAACCATTTATTTCAGGAATTATTTTTTTCAATTTTAAATTAGATCTTTGTAATTTATTTATTTTAGATCAAGCCTTCATGGTTCAAACGAATGGATATGTTAATACTTGAAAGTTAAAATTATTAATAAATGATTACTTTTTTAAAACCTAAAACACTATTGAAGTTTATAAAGAAATTTACTTAATACTTTTGAACCCCAAAAAAAAAACATACTTGATTTAATACAATGTTAAATTTTCATTAATTTTATATGAAAATTTTATATATATGAAAACTACTCAGAAGACATAACCTAAATGTGTAAATCCTAGTTATAAAAAATCATGTAATTAGTTCTAAAGTTATATAATTTGTTAATAACAATATAAAAGTGCTTAATTTTAAAAAAATTTAAAATTTTAACTTTCATGAATTAATAAATATAATGGATCAAACTATAAGCCAAGGAGCGTGCAACGTGGAGAAAAGGAGGAGAATTAAAATGGATGGCCCTGTGGCGATAAAGAGGGAATATATCGTCACTTGCAAGTTATAACTTGCATGAACTCAGATCCGATACACACAATTAACGCGGTGTTTGCTTTTTCACTTTAGTTGAATCCTGTAGTTAATGGATGCACGAACATAATTTTTCTGAAATTGCGTTATAAATGAGCTAGCGAAAATCGATTCCCCCCTGTCTTCTCTCAAATGAATTCTCTTTCACCATAAACTTCACTCATTTATCCTAATATGCTACCCTTTGTTATATGAAGTTTCACCAGACATGCAACAACTCGACATCCAGCACAACACGTACCCTGTGATATGTTAAATCAATATGTCTGGAGCTTCTAAGTTCTATGCGTTCCCACACCCAACAACATCGGCCTTAATTCCTCACCAGCACAACATACAACTCAATTGTGGACATATCATGTAATACGAGTTAATGAGAAGTTATTATAATCGATTCTAACTTATGTTCATTTGTAACTCCCATGATCATCACGTCATTTTCATCCCAAAATCCACTCGACACTTTTTTTTCCCCAAGCATCATATCACCCCAGAGGGTTTTACAATTTTGGGGGAATAGGGAGAGAGACAGAGATACGTGAGATAGTGTATGAGATGTGAGGTGGGCATGTTTGGATGGACATTCTTACCCGTCCTGTCTCTGCATCTACAGGTGTTATGTTGTCATTCTTTCACATTCTATATACCCCTCCCCTCTCTCCCCATTTGATTAGACTGTAAATGAAGGCCCTATTAGCTTTGATTCCGAACACGCCATTTGTGGCTCTTGTTCCTTCAATCATTATCCCTTTTTTCTACTGTTTTTGTTTTCTCCTCTCTCCTTGTTCATCTTTGTCTATCTGCTGACGCTGATGTTTCCATCTCACGCCAAAGCTTCACACAAGTTCATTTTTGTTCCCTAAAAAATTATTGCAAATTTTAAGTGTGCGCCCCAATTGTCATTTGTGAACTTGGGATGCCCACTGATTGGGGAAAAAAACTGCGTTTTGATTCTCGTCTATCATTCATTGAAATCTTATGTACAAATATCACCCAAAGGATTATCTTGAAATGGGTATTACAATCAATTAGTCTCACTTGGTTCAAGGTTAAATGTGTGCTTGTTTGTTACCTCAAAGGTGGTTTTGATAGTAGCGATGTTCAATGTCACATTTGCCCCACTTCAAATATGTACTAAATCAAATTAGGCTTAGAAAGTAAATATATTCAAATTTTTGTCAGCTGATTTTTTAATGATCACGTCAATAAAGTTTGGATTTTATGTTTATTTAAATTACATAAAAAATGATCTCCGCTATTCACAAACGATAGATAATAATTACTCTAATGATAATTAAGATTTACTTGAAATCCATGCTAATCATATCTTGTCCACTCCATTTTGACACAAATTAATATTTTATTACATGTTAATTACTGCCATAGTTAACACGATATTTCATAACTCATTCTGCCATACGATTTTTTGTAATTTACATTACAAAAAATGAAAATACAAATATTGGAGTCACAAGTCTGTCTCTGGATCTGTTTGAACTTTTAATTATTTGGTCAGATGGAGTTGACCACGGCAGGTGTGCACTGAAATGACACAGGGGCCTTTCTGTCATTTGAAATCTGTAAAATTTGCAGAAAAAGCTTATTCACACCCTGCACTGCGCAACACGCCCAGTGACTCCCACCACTAGTGCCCCAAAGCTTGAGCTATGCTCCTAAGCAATCTCTGCCACGTGACTCCCCTCCCCCGCACGTGCCTTCCCCCGCGTCATCACTTCCGTCAAAATTTCAAACCCCAACACATCCCTCCGCACGTGCCACGTCCCTCCCCGTCTCACGTGCTTCTCCTCTCTCGGTTACATCACATTTTTACCTTAGCTCGTATCGTACGCCCTCAGCATAAATACCACACAACTACCCTTGCTTCCCCTCCCAAACCAGTTTCCGTTCTCCCCCCCGCCCTCCCCCCCCTCTCTCTCTCAAGTCTTCGTACGAACAGAGATTTATGATCCTTACAAAGTTTTGTGGTCAGAAATCCCTTTAAAGTAAAGCTGCAACGACTATTATAAACGTTGTTTCAAGTTTCAACCCACGCATTCAAAGCTCTTGTTTGTTTGGTCCTCTGATTTTTCGTATCCGATTCCCCAATTTCAGCACCGTTTCTTTGGGTTTTCTATGAGAGCTTGTTGCCTTCTGCAGCTTTCACCTCTCCTACCATGTTAGACGCTCCCGGTTCTGGTCGTGATTCCGAGCTTAGTTTGGAGGCTCTCAGTTCAACCCAGCGAAGTTCCATGAGCAGCGAAAGCATTTGCAGCACCAGTTTCAGCCGTCTCTCCTTCGAACTCCTTCCTACGTCGCCCGAAAGCCTCTCCCTCAAGCCTCATCGGTCGTCGGACTTTGAATACTCCGCTATCCGCTCCGCCACGTTCCGCCGCAAGACGGGCCTCACCTTCCGCGACTTCCATCTCCTCCGTCGCATCGGTGCCGGTGACATCGGCACGGTCTTCCTCTGCCGCCTACGCAACAGCAGTTACGCCGAAGACGATCGGTTTGTCACCGGCACGGAGGACGATGTCGTTGTCAACCGCGAGGACGATGGTTGCTGCCTGTATGCCATGAAGGTGGTGGACAAAGACGCGGTGGCATTGAAGAACAAGTCTGAGAGGGCGGAGATGGAGAGGAAGATTCTCAAGATGCTGGATCATCCTTTCCTCCCCACGCTTTACGCCGAGTTCGAGGCTTCACACTTCTCTTGCATTGTCATGGAGTTCTGTTCCGGTGGGGACTTGCACTCCCTACGCCATAGACAGCCTCAGAAGCGATTTCCTCTCTCCTCTGCAAGGTAGACACAGCTACCTAAACGATAGCGTTTTGTTATGCACGATTTTGTTTTGTTTCACATACAGAACCATTCTGTTTACGTCTCTATTTTGGCCGCTTCTGCTGCATCTAACGCCTTGTTATTTTCTTGTCTGCTTCATCCTTTGAAATGTTCACTTCACTATATTTTTTTTTTCGAAAATCCTTTTTCACAATATCATAGCCATTTTTTTAAATTTTTCGTCATCTGTGATTTTCTCGGATTATAAACCTGACTTAGCCGCAAGTTTCCAGTTGTGAAACTTTTTTTCTCCTTTGTTAGAAGTTTGAATAACCTTGCTCGCTCTGATCAACATTACCAGATCAGGCGCTGCATTTTGCCTGCTGATTCAATACATTAGAAGATGATGTTTGTGAATTTCATTCTGTGTTTTTTTTTTTTAATTTTTGTTTCATTGATGCTGTTTTGCTTCCGAGAAATTTCTTCGTTATTATTAATTTTCTGGGTATTATTCCTTGCCAGGTTTTATGCTGCAGAAGTGCTCGTGGCATTGGAGTACCTTCACATGCTGGGAATCATTTACAGAGATCTGAAACCGGAGAACGTGTTGGTTAGATCCGACGGCCACATCATGCTCTCCGATTTTGATCTCTCGATGTGTTCTGACGCAATCCCAGCCGTTGAATCCTCTGACTTATCTCCCGATCCTGCGTTCCGAGATACCGTACCGTGTACCCGCCCGCACTCTAATCCGTTCTCGTGCCTCCCTAACCGGATTTTTCGGTCCCGCAAGGTCCAAACCCTTTTCCCAAACCGACTATTCGTGGCCGAGCCGGTATCTGCTCGGTCATGCTCCTTTGTAGGGACCCACGAGTACGTCTCTCCGGAGGTCGCCTCTGGCCACTCTCACGGCAACGCCGTCGACTGGTGGTCCTTCGGAATATTCATCTACGAGCTCATTTACGGGAGAACACCGTTTGCAGCCCCTACGAACGAGGCTACGCTGCGAGGCATCATCAAGAAGCCCCTCACCTTCCCCACCGCCACGCCGTATAGCACGCTTGAGCTACACGCGCGTGACCTGATATTCAATTTGCTTCACAAAGACCCTACCCGGAGACTCGGGTCAAAGCGGGGCGCGGCAGACGTGAAGAAGCACGCGTTCTTTAAAGGTCTGAACTTTGCTTTGATACGGATGATGACGCCACCAGAGGTACCAGGTTCGAGGAGGCAGAAGACGACGCCGTTAGGCCAGGTGAAGGGAAACGGAAGTAGGACTGGCAGGAGACAGCGGCTGCAGCCAACGGCGACGTTTGACTACTTCTGATCTTCAACCGGACGACCGGCGAACTTTGCGCCACGTGTTCGTCGCTGCCCCCGTCCAGATTTTCTACCTGGCGGGTGACGTATTTGTATATTCGAGCTGTAATCCCTTTTTCTTTTTTGGAAGGAAAGAAAGTTTAATATTTTAATATTCAAGCTAACAACTTCAGAATTTTAGTTCGAATGTATAAAAAAGTTCACTCCACAAAATCAAATATGGTTCGGGGTGGTGCCCTTGGAAAAAAGCTGAGATGAGGGCTGTGTCATTTGCCTTGTAAGGAAGGCCTGGACAAGATGAGTATGTATGTATAAGGGGAAATTAAACTTGTTATGGGAAAAGATTCTGCGCTTAAATGTCACCCTTGTCCCTTCACCATTAAGTGAGACGTGTAATGTAAAGCCTGCATGTGATTAAGGCGTAAAAGTGATAGTTAAACTTGACACGTAAAATTTGTAATGACTTGAAGTAGAAATAATCCATGACACGTCCCGTAGTAATTGAAGTGCTACATCTGCTGCTAGGTTTAGTATTTTCAACCCAATTGCTCCTCAAAACTTGTGTGTCACACCCGTGAGTGCACATATATGGAATATAATATATGGTGAACCCAAGAATATCCATATATACGCTTCACCTTGTTCAAAGCCCTCACACTTCACCTTGTTGTAACTTCTACCGTCTTATCATCCCCCTTTTTGGACCTTTACTTAACTTTCCTCCACTTTTTATCTTGTCTCCTCCTTTTTAGAATAATCCTTTTTATATTCTTCAGAAGACCATTCCGACACTTAATCAATGTCTTAACCAATGTCTGTGAATTTGAATGGTGAAAAGTTTGATTCTTTTAAACAAAGATTCAGTGTTGGAAATTGTTTATATATTCTTCGCCTCATTCATGAATCATGACCTTATAGACCTTGTTCACAATAATATATGTGATAATGACCTGCAAAGCAGTAAAGGTAGTAAAACTTGAATGAGTCATTGAACAAGTTGTAATAGTACTTCAAAGTTTGGTGATTAAAATCATGGTTGAATCAAAGTTAATCTAGTTATGATTTTTTTTTAACTCGAAAGGAAGTTTTAGCCAAAGCAAAGTGGAGAAAAAAAAATCATATAATGTGTTAGATTCGTTCAAAACTCTTGACCATATCAATTAGGGGACTAGTTCACGTTTTCAATGGTCTGACTAGCCAATTCCAATTGGGTGTTAATACCATGTAATGCTTACGACCCTATAGTCCTGGTTCACAATAATGATGTGATAATAATAAACTATGAGATTTTTTTAGGTGTTTTAGGTAGGAATAGTGAAGAAGCAGCTCCATTATGAGAACAAAAAGATATGGAAGTAGCTCTCGAAGTTAAAGCGAGTAAATAAAAGCGGTTGGATTGGAGATTTGTTTTTGGCTGTGTGAGAAAAGAACAACACTTAGAGCTAGTCGGTTAGGTGGTCAGAAATTAACTAGAGTTTGGAGTTTTCGTTGTGGTTTCTTTCATGAGGAGAATGGAAGAAACTAGGAATCATGATTCGCGAAACACGTATAATAAATAAAACGCCCAATAATTGTTCAACTTATTGGGAACTGGACTAGAAAGTTCAACTACTATATTCTACTGCTAGTGCCACACAACATGTGGGCATTACAATAATTTTTTCTTTTAGGTTTTGACCCCTTCAAAGTTGTTCTTTTTCTAGTGTGTGAAACTGAAATTAACATCTTCCCTCAAATTCCGTCTCGCTTTTGACTAAATAACCTTCTGAGTTTTAGTTTAGTTTACACAGACCTCGACGTTTTCATTATACTATTAGTGTGATTATTGTATTAGTTCAATACATTAGCTCAGAATTCCCCAAGATACAAAAACTTTCCTGTTACAGCTTAGAAATTGTTCATCTTGTGGGGTCCATTATACAGATATAGAATACTTATTCTACACATTTTAATATTTTTCTTGAACTTGCACCGACAAATTTGAACTCCATCAACGTTAAATTGATGTTACCAGGTCCCATGCTAATTAGTTCAGCTGAAGAGAGAGTTGTTCCGGTTCAATCAAAAGCCTTGAATTCTAGAAATGTAATATTTTTGGTAGCAGGAACTTCATGTGAAAGAGTTCTAACCTGACTTAATTCAGATTAGTTCGAGTCTTATTATATATTGACTCGATGCGGGGCATGCATAAGACATTAGGTATTCAACATTTAAAAAAAATGTCACAACGTATTCTCTCCAATTTTATTTATAAGATATAAAGGGAATAATTTTTTTGGTTTTATTTACAAATCATGTGATTAATTCTTTATTATAAATTTTTTCTTTTATCTAATATGAGTAAGGAAAAATATGTTATTGAAATATGTTCATTTATTAAGGATAAATTAAAAATTAATTAAATTTTAGACAAAATTCATAAATTTTAAGATTGTTTTTATTTTTCTAAAATATATTAAAAATAATTTATAAATATGACAAAAAAAATCAATTAATCCAGTATCTCACGTCAAAGTATTTCTATGTAATGGTATTTTTAACAGATAATTTATTTTTATTTAGGTAAATGTAAGCATGGCATAAGTGTCAAGCTATTGACATTTAAATTTTTGTGTCCGCGCCAGATACATAAATAATTAATAATTAGTTACGTAGAGAACTTTTATAGAGAATCCATCAAAAAAATTTAAAGGAAATTAGATAAATAAACCTCCGTGGCACCGTGGCTACCGGCTAGCATATTAATTTGGATAGGCTTTACGTTACGTCCTCTCATGCCGTAATGTCAAACAAAAGAAGTGTACGTCAGGTTCGAATAGGAGAAAATACAATACACGTCATTGTTACATTGAAAGCTGATAAATATGTGGAATGAACAAATACATGCATGTTAAAATTTGACAAGTATAAATCGAGTTTTAATTCAATATTAATATCAATAAATATCGCTATTCAAATAGTGGAAAGGTGCGCGGTTTATATTTTATAAACACCTATTTCCTGTTATTAATGAATTATGAATAAGAGATATTTACTCAATTATCTAAAATGTACTCACTAAATAATTGATGAAGGTGATACGAGCTTTGTATGTAGGTAATTGAAATTGGAATCTCAACTCTTATGAATGAAAAAAAAAATTAATTGAAAGGAGTACACTACTGTTTATTCATAGTATATATCTTTGAAAAAATAAGTCTCTACCATGGATGGGGTAAAGCCAGAAAAACAGGTTGAACTCGCGAGTTAGCCCGTTCAACCCGCAATTTTTGATAAATTGGCTTAAAAGAATTAGTCTATTTTTTAAACCTAACCAGCAAAAATGACAGGTAAAACGAGCTAGCCCACGGGTTAAACGGGCTGGCCCGTAGATTAGCTTATTTTTTTAATCATAATATATTTTTTTATAAATTTACAATAATTACTATATTTTTTAAATTTATAATTTTTGAGTCCCTATCATGTTCTTTAGATTTAAAAAATAATATAAATCTTTCTTACAATATGCAAATAAAGTTTTTATTATAGTTTATAAATTAATTATTTATTAGTTTTTGTAAAAATATTTTAAATATATATTATTTATTAATCTCATAAGATTTATTGATTGAAATTACAAATATAAATTTATTGATAAAAATAATTTATATTTATATTTAAATTTTATTTTAAAAATAATATGAGAAAAATTATTATTTACGTATATGATATGTTAATTATAATTTTTAAATAATTTTAACAAAATAAAATCATATTTTGCGAGCTAGCTTGCAAGCTCGTTAGCCTATTAATGTATGGGTTGAGTTGAATTTTTTTAATCCATTTATTTTAGTAGACTGGCCAACCCAACTCATTAATGTATCAACCTTTGTGAGTTAGCTTGTGAATTGACCCGCAATCTGTTTAGCACTAGGATGGGGTATATATATTTATGATGTTTAATTATAAAAAATGAAATATTATTTGTTTTTTTTTGGACAAAAAGTGAGAAAATATATAAATAAAAAATAGAGAATAGTAGTTAGGAAGAGACATGATTGAAAGATAGAGAAGAAGGAAGAGGAAGATGGTGAGGGAGGGGGTGGCCATGTGACATCCTGCCAACCAGGCAAAGCCTTTAATCTCTTGTCCCCCGATCTTTCTTTTCCTTTCCCTTCATCCAATTATCTCTTGCCACTTCTCCATTATTTTCATCTCTCTCTATATATATAATAATCGTCTTTTATTAAAAATTTTATATCATTTTCCGTTTTTTTTTTTAAGTATAGCACCTAGAACCTTATATTTGCTTTGCGTTGAGAAAACTTTTAACACTCCAAATTAATTTGGATCAAGTCAAGTTTTGACTCTTTCAAGTAAAAGTTTTACTATCAAAGTTCCTTCATTCTTAGTTGTTGAATTCGGGACTTCTAATTAAGCAAGTAGCTTGGTACGATTCTCTTGTTAGTCTCATGGTTTATATAATTATTCCTTTTCATATGACAAATTACTCTACTCATCCTATTTCATAGGATATTTTTTTAATATGATTTGGTGTTCTAAAATATAATATGCTTTAAAAAAATTAAAATATATAAGATTTCATTAATTAATATTATTCCTTATTATTTCGCTCTTTAAATATATTTTTCTTTCTCTATTAATCTCACTCATTGATGAATGATATTTTTGGAAATTTATAGAACATTATGATTACAAACTATTTAATGTAGTTCATTATTTGTATAAATTAAAAAAGAAGTGGGAAACAGAGTTATTTGTGTGTGATATGATATATGGCACGTTGGTCAATTGCTAAACATGATTAAGCATCTTTTTGTGACATGTATAACAGAAACTAGTGGGATCAACTGTTAGCATTCTGAGACAAAAACAAAAAGGACGCAGCTCATTATCTTATCAACACACACATGTGGGTGTGGCTTCTTCCATTCCATGACATGATTAATTAGTGAAGAGGGTACATGTGTGAAAGCTTTTTAACCCATCATACATTCATGCACGTATGCATGTTACATGGTAATTAAGAAATATGTATCCACATGATCATCAAGAACTGTATAATGACGGAATGTCATGGTCATCGACCACTTGTGACTCGGACTTAGCTTAGACAGTTATTAAGATGCTTTAAAAGAAACAATGTTGTGGCAGGACGGTGGATTGAAACATCAGGTTGGAACATGTCTGCCATGAACTTAACACTTCACACATGCATGAATCTGCTCGCAAATTAGGCATTACTCAGAACAATGATGCCCAATCATGGATTTTATTGCTCCTCTCATCTTAAATATTCTGTTTGGATCACAATATAGAATATTGATAATTAATTCATGATTTTTTAAAAAATATTAGTTGA